AGGTGACATGTCCAGTAACGAGGCCACAGGCTGCGTCACCCCAGCCCCATCGCTCTGCGCGGTCCTCGCGTCCAGTTTACTCGGAAAAACCTAAAGCTAGATTAGTAACGTCCTGAAAAAGTGACCCTGAGGATTGTGGTAGGTCCCAAATCCAGTTCTACTGTAAATTAAGCTTTACTCCACTGAAAATAAAAGGTACACCCACAAACAATAATAATAATTAAAAAAACTTTAAGTATGAAGCGTAGTCCTGGGTCCTTTACTAAAAAAAAAAAAAAAAAAAACCAAAACAACAAACCACACACACAAAAAAAACCAAAACAGAAAAACCCCAAACCTTCCTAGCTGGAGGTTGTTGAGACAGTAATGGCGTACAATGTCACCTCATTAACGAATTCTCAAAAGAAACCCAGATCAAAACATTGTTTATGCAGCATTACTATCAAAACAGACTGATATGCTGTGCCATACTGTTGTGCAGCAAATTATATGGTGCAATAGCATTTTTTTTTTAAAACATTTTACTCTTATTTTTGAAAGCTTTAAAATAATGCGACATAATATTTTGATATTACAGTATTAACAAATAGTGCTTGATTAAAGACATCTGCAAGTCTTCATAGCAACACATGAAGTTAAAATTACCAATGGAGGTAAATATAGAAATACAATAATCTGCGCCATAACTGACAGCTAAGAACATAGCTGAGGATTTAAATATAAATTCATTTATCTTTAATTATTTCAGGAAATGTTAGAAAGATCTAAACGTTACAGCTACTTTAAAATGTAAGGGTTGTTTACAAGTACAATTGGTGGCCTGCTGGTCTAGCAACAGGGTTTTCAGAAATCTAATTCAAATAGTAGTGAGTCAAAGGTGACTAAATGGCTTAAATACAGTAATAGCTAGGTTAAAATACGTATTTTTAATTGGAATGGAAGGATCTCAGATTCTTCTTTCATTGCATACTTAAGTGGAGGTAAACCTCCACAGCTACTCAACACAGCACTGCCAGGAACAATATCTTCTTGCAAGACCATTTTGAGAAGCCAGAGCTGAAATTTGCAAATATTTAAGCTTGTACTTGCTAAAGAACCCAAGTTACTGGATTGTGACAATTTTATTTATAAACCAGCTATTATGTGCACTTAAAATCGTTAAATGGAAGTAGCTAACAACAAAAAAAAAAAAGTATGCCCGATGTAGTAGTTGGCTCCGTGGTGCTGGCAGGTTTGATATGTACATTGCCGGCTGTGACTATCACTCCAGAAACGGCCCTCCTAATCTTTTCTAGTGGTTACAATACTGAAGTTTACTTTAACTGCATTTGGGGGGGGGAGTGGGAAACTGGCAGCTTTCACAGTTGGAGAGTTTCACAGGGAAGGCTGTGGTCCAGGTAACAGAATGCAGTTACACCGATGTTCAGGCAGCTGATTCACTTACCTTTACGAATACAAGTCAGATTTAACACAAAGAAAGCCACGCCAAAACCCAGCCCTTGGAACCTGGCTAACTGAGCCAGGGTTAAAAATGACCACTTAGCAGCAAAGCTTGGGGCGGGGGGGGAGAAGGTTTGGAAAAAAAAGTTTTGGGAGGAAAAAAAAAAAAAATAGGACATGTGTGTTGAAAATTCCAGTTTTAGGAGCATTTTTCCACTTCAAAAATCTCAGCCAAATGAGGGGGGAGGGGAACCTTCTGTAAGACAAAAATGTGCTGTTTAATCTGCAGTGCACTACCTTTATCAAGATAAAGTAATGGACAGACCCAGTTTTTAACTCTATTTATCAAAATAAGCTAGCTTCTGATTGCACTCGTCATTTTGAAGAAATGACTGAAAATTTTCATCACCAATTGTACAACTTCTTTACACAAAACCAAAAAAGTTGCTAATATTGTATATACATGATTCAGTGAGACTGTTTATATGAAAAATGATCTCAGGCAGGTATCTTGCATTTACGAAACATGATTTTCATTAACACAGTAAGTTTTGTAAATGCAAGCGAATTCTTCCTTGTAGGGGATTAACAGCAGGTGCACAAATGGATCTTAAAACTTGCTCCTTTAAAGGTTTAAACCAGCAAGACGGACAGCATTAAGACCCAGGACACGGGTTATCGCAGCAAGGCTCACGTGAGCACTGCAGGAGTTAAGTTTTTAATCTGGCAGTCAGATGAGGAACCCAGAAAAAGCATATGCAGTTGCTCTTCAGCACCCGTAGGGGCTATTTTAGAGCAGCATCAGACATTTGGCATGTGCTAGGAGAAAGGAAGGAAACTACCGAGAAGAAACGGTGACTGTAGATAGAGGGAGACGTTTACGAAAGCCTTGAGATTTGTCGGTCCCTTCCTTAGGGAGGGCTAAGCCTCCTTGGCACATGCCCCAGCCAGAGCCTGAAAAGGGGATACGGGGAAGGCCATACACTGATACTTGGGACCTTCACCACAGTGCCAAAAATACATTAAAAAGGAAAATGTTCAGGGTTTCGTGCTTTTTTTTTTTTTTTTTTACTAGTGGAATAAAATCTGAATACCAGAATTCACTGAGAATCTATATACACCACATTTTAGTTAAACACACACCAATCTTAAAGTCAAGATTGACTATTTTTGCATTTGTAAAATGGCTAGAGCTGGGCTAAATTTCAGCCTTACAGGAGACTTTGGATAAGATCAGAGTTTTCTGTATGTTCCGCATCAGATTCACGTTTTTTTCACAAACGTGGAAAAAAATAACGCAGTCACCACAGTGCCAAGAATATCTAGGTAACAACAATGCACAATGGATATTCCTGTAATATTAAACTTGTATACTGGAAATAGATCTGAGAATCTAGCCACAGCCCTGAACCATAATACAAACTTCAACTGAAGAGTTTATTCATTTTATTCTCACTACAAGTTAAACCACCTACAATATCACTTAATATATTGCCATTGTTACTCTGTAAAGGTGTGATATAAAATGCTGTAAGACCCGGTACCTTTTCAATTTATATAAACACAGTGAACTTCATTACTGTACATGTACTCTGCAACTACAGCTTAGCTGTAAATCCCCCACACACAATGGTATGGACATTAACCCCTCTATCCCCATTAAACTGTACATCAAGACAATACAAATTTACTGTCCCCACCCACCCCTTACAAAAAAATAATACTCTAAAAGCAACCTACTGCAACTTTTAATTAAGACGATTACATATATTTTAGACCAATTGCTTTAAAGCAAGAAGGCAGTATAAACCTTCTAGGAAAATTTTTATAAAAGAGGTTAAGAAATATAAGACAATTTATACATTTAAAAACTTACAATAAATAAGAGATGCAGGCATTTTTGAATACTAGGTACTATAATCCAATACAAGAACATCTTGATGTTCCGAAGCCATAGGTTGAAACTTATTGTTCCTCATGTTTCTTCTCATCTCCATGCTTTTAATATTCATTAACCATGACTGGGTACTATGGCTCATTACTCTTCACAAATACTGTGGTTGGGGAAAAATGGTTAATTTTGCTACTAAAAATGTTATAATACACTTTCTGACCATCATTCTAGAGCGTCCCCCATAGTCGATGACTCAAAGACAGTGGGGCGATAGGTGCCCCTCTCACAAGTCAAAACAATATTTGCTGGAAGTAACAAGATTCATACCCCATCACAAACAACTTGCACTGAGAAGAATTATAACTTAGTCCTGCAGTGAAATATCCCTTTTCCTCATTTTTGTCTTGCAAAATTCAGATGAAGATCACAGCATATTCATGATAAAGTTATACAACTGATTCAGCACCACAAAATGAATTGGGAGACATGACCGTCTGTCCTGGGTTGCAGGATCACAGGTTAGCCAGGAGAGTGCATTGTACTGTTCCAGAACAAACCTGAAAAGCAAACAAGCTTCCATCAAGCCAACAGATTTTCCACCAGTACCTTACAGTCCTAATTTAATATAATCCAGTTTCTTTGGTATTAAAAACATAAAATAGGTTTGCCAATATTCCAAAATAACATGCCTTCGGAATTATTACAGGCAGTTCAAAGCTGAACTTTCTTTCGGTGGAAAACGGTCATTTTAATAGTCTATACTTTATTAATGTCAAGAGGTTCACATATTAAAAAAAAAACCACGAAGAAAAAAATCCGACATTTTCTCAACAAGCATCCTATGTTTACGTGAGTCTAGAGAGACTCCTGTACTTCAGCATTTCAGTATTCCCACAAGATTGCCATGCAAGATCCTGTAACTATCTTCCACTCATTTATGCACCATCTTCTGTGTTACACCTCAAACTCTTCTACCTTGAGGAATTGATTCTTTCCAATATTTTCAGTTGTAATCAACATTGATTAGTTAAAGAAGGGCTTAGAGATGTTTGTTTTTAATTGCACTGTTCTGTGATAAAGCCATCTTTTAATCACCCAAAGCACAGCAATTTATATTGTATCTGTGACGTACTAAGGATATCAGCAGCACAAAGAAAAAACTAACAGCACAGAACCCAAACAAATATGTAGCCTCGCTGCAGCAGTATTAAAAAATGAAATGCACAGTATTTTTGCACATGATCAATCATAAATACCTGAGCACATCAGAAGTTTGATTAGAATCAAGTGGATGGGAGTGTTTACTGTGGAGTAGCTCGTCTGATTGCACTGAAGGCACGTGGAGGTGCAAAGAGGCCTAAGAAAGGAAGAAAGATGCCAGCAGTTACTGCCGGATTCAAGTACAGCGTATTTTCTTCCCTCCTCTGCATTGTTGACCCATACCTTGCAGTCACCTTCTATTCCCTGACACACAAGCCAAAACAAATCTTATCCTTAAGGCCATCAACAAGTTCAGGAATTATCAGAATATGTAAGGAAATGCACTCAGATCTCTCCTAAAAGCACAGTGCTAGTAGTGTAATACATCTTAGGAATTTTTTTTAAAATCCCTTTGCCTACATTAAGTGATTATTAAAAAGGCAACTCGAAAAAAGTGGCCCAAGATGTCCAGTCATATACAGACTTGGAAGTTCAGTTGCTTTCCGTAAGACTGGTCTATTTATATTCCATATATAGAGCTGCTTAGGGTAAATAATAAATCCTCTATTCAAAAAAATGTCTTATACCAAAGCCACAGCTGAGTTTAGGCCAAAAGGAACCGCTAATCCAGACACAAATAAGGCTGAAGAAGATGTATCTTTTATTTCATTAGAAAATAAAGCACAGTGTTAGAGATGCTAATTTAAGTAAAAAATGAATAATGTTAATACAGAAAGTTTCTCTGTATAGCCTTAAATGTGCCAAGTATGTCTTGATTGTGCCATAAGAAGATAAGGAGATCAGACAATATCCAGACAGATGATACAGTGACTAACACTTGGCAACAGCCAACGTGGAAAACCTAGCTTTTATGCTTTGTGCAATACGTAAGGAGATTTATTTATTATTTTTCTTTTACCCAGTGTAAATGAGATATTACATTACGCTTGTGTACTTCCCTCTCTACCACCAGTCCCCACGGGAGTCAAACATTAACCAGAGATCTGTCTAGAAACTCAACCTATTCTTACAAAATACTGTAGCACAAAACCAGAAACAGAAAAGGAACCCAGACTACCGTGAAGAAACCATCAGAAGAGCAGAACCCTTCAGAACATTTGCTACTTCCATGAATCATTTTTCTTCCCTTAAAGAAAGCGAACATAAAAAGCCAAAGCTCAAAAGTCCGAAACCCAACCTCTCTTGAAGCAAAAGCAGACATATTCCAAGAGACATGCACCAACTTTGTTTTAAACATAGTAGTTCTCGTAATTCAGATCCCTCCACACTGCACAACTCTATGACAGACTGTCCAGGAAGATGGCTGTGCAACCCGCTGAAGTTACAGTACCTTAAGAAACAAGGGACACTGATTTTGTGCTTGAGGACACGCTGACCAAAACCAGTCAGGCAACGGACCTGCTTTGGCAGTTGACACAAAATAACCAAGGGCCAACGGCTGTTGAAGTATATTTGTTACTTCATCATGAGATTCTGTTGAAAGCAATCGATCTGTACCTTGACCCTGTAAAACAACAGGCAATGGTTTAATTTTAGGAGACAACAAACTTAATAGAAATTATCTGTAGCTTTCAAAAGACAAAAGCATTTTGAAATATCCAAGCATTACGTGAATCTTGCAAAGACAATCCAATATCCAATTGATTCAAAACATTTCATAGGAACCTTCCATCCCCCCAGAAGGAAATTAGCAGATGGAGAAAAACAAACAAAACAAAACTCTGTATTTACTCTAATAGTTACCTTGCCCATATCACCTCCATGGGGGTAGTGGGACCCTGGAGAATGTACAGGGGATCCAGTAGGGGATGCAGGAAGAATATTTATAATATCAGGATCAAGATCATCTCCAGTGTCTAACAAGTCAAAGATTCCCATTCCATCTGCTCCATCTTGAAAAAGAACAAGACCAGTGAATGTCCATAGTTTCCTTATGTACAGGATATGACAACACATTCTGAAATCAAGTGATTTCCATATAAATCTTGTGGTTCATTAGAATAAACAGTCTTATTCATTATAGGAGGAGTGATGAGGGGTTTTTTGGTTGGTTTGTTTTTAAAACAAGAATAAATCCAATCTACTAACCATTGTTTGTGTTAAAGGCCAGATCCAAGTTTTCAGTGGTGTAAGTTGACGATGCTACTTGCACAGATGCAGATGTGGGAAACACAAGTATATGAGTGCATGATGTGTCCTGTGGGGTATTCAGCTGAGACGTCTGCATATTTAAAGTGGTGCTGCGTCCAAATACAGAGCCGGTCGATACAGAATCTTTGGAGGAGAAGAGAAATCAAGTATTTCCTTAGTTTTGCTAAACCCGAACTATTAGTTCCCTTGCCAGAAAAGAGAAAGAGAGAGTTTTTCAAATACCTGGCATAATAATGAAGGACCCCTGTGGTTCCATTGCCACCAAACAAGCACTGAGAATGCTGGGAGAGTCTGCAGCAGAGATACCACACATTCTGCACATGTCTTTTAGTCTCTTACTAAGGGACTGAAGGTTTCGGCGACTCAGCAAACAACTCCAGTCTGAGGATATAAAGGATATAGGTTTGTCTAGAAGAACAGTGCTTGCTGCAGAATACATATTTTACATATAATAGTGTGGGGTGCAAACTTCACGTCTGTCACGTTTCGAATACACAAAGGAACTCAAAAATTATTTAGGTTTTCTTCCAGAAACAGGGACAGACACTTTACATTACTGAAAAATGAAAGCTTCAAATCAAGTTTTCGACTCTAAAAATGCTAACGTTACCTTTCAATTCCCCATGTCCTATTCTTCCTAAACGGCCTATTACAACTCTCCATGGCAAAGAGCTCATCTGCACAAGTCCCAGGCACCATTCCCAGAGTTTCTGAAGACCAAGTCTGCGGGCAGAGCCCTTTTTCCTGCGAGCTCTAGAATTAAGAAAGAAGGGAAAACAAAGGTAGAACCCACCTGCAACAAGTTTTTATTGCCATGTTTGGAACTTTTTATTTGTATTAACCTGAACATTCACAGGACCCAAGAATGTTAGTATTGTAGTACATCAATTGCAACTTTGGTTTGTTTGGGTTTTTCTAATTAATCACATTCTAACACTGACATCAAAAGCCAGTAAGTGGGGGGGGGTATGAACACACATACAAAACCACTCAAGAATCACATGAAACCAAATAACCTTCTTCTAGAAATTTAACTTAAAACAATATGCACATAATACGGAAAATACCCATTTGCTTTAGCTAGTTTTGCAATATAGTGAGTCTACAAAAGTCAGAGTTATTCTTACAGCATCATAAACAAACTAATTCTTCAGGGGAATGAAAGAAGACATACATGCTAAAAGTTAATTTAACAGTTTTGTTCCTACCTGTTTGGTACATCAATATTAATTATGCAAGTTTCTAACTGTTCTCCGTAGAGATCTGTACAGGATGCAAGAAGCCATCTTTGATCATGAGACAAACAGTAGCCTACAAAAAGTACGTTATACTTCTGGCCAGCTTCTCCAAAAGTTTCTCCTAGTTCTGTTTGCTTGTCCTTTACGGGAGCCAGTATAAAAGGAGGGGTGTATAGTCGAATACACTCAGGTCTCTATAAAAATGACAGAGCAGACAATGACGTTTCAGGAAGCAATTATTCCTAAGAACTCTAGTTAGTTAACATGAAAGACGCCAGCGATTTAATAAACAGACATTTCTCTGATCTGCATATTTACACAACCACATTAACAACACTCACATCAGGGCTCTTAAGAGCAGTTTCCATGGCTAAACCTGGGCCAAAGCCAGTTAACGTTTTCACGTTGGTGGAAGTTGGAAGAGGTCTCCGACACTGAGTAAAAGCTGAAAATGCCAGAGATTTTAAATGCTGAGTGTAAATCTGCCGGTCTTCATGTTTCACAGGTTGTAGAAGGTACTGACATGGGACAATCTAGAACAGATTACAGAGGGGGGGAAAAAAAATAGTTAGTTTCATCATTGGACTAAAAGGCTTTTGAGATCATATTTGGGTACACTGCTTTTAGAATTCTACTTTGCAATCAAATTTCTCTGGTTCTCGGATATCTCCTGCCACTTCTTCCAAAGCTATGTGGGACTTCAAGCAATTATTCTCATTGAAATTTTCTTCAGAGAAAAAAAGAATTTGTTTAGAAGAGAATCTTAATGATTCCTCCAAACAGATGCCCTCTGTTAACTAGTTTTGCAGCTGCTGACAGCATTACAGTTGGATGTCTATCAGGAAGGAGCGCTGTCTGAAGCCGAGCAAGGTCAGGCTGGCAGCACAATTCCAGTGATGGGACAAGCAGCTTTCCCATACTTCACTCATTACTGGAGTGGGCCATTACATTTCCTCGGACAGAAGACTGATGAGTTTGGAATCTACTACAGGATTTGGCTTTGGTTAATAACACCCAAACTGCTCTAAAAGCTATAATCTCAATGATGTAACAGCTGTAGAAGCTGTAGTAATGTTTACAAAGCAAATGAAACTTTCGCCTTGAGGGCGCTAGCACCTCCAAAACACAGCCAAAGCCAAAGATACTTTGTTCAGCATGTTTCTATAAATGGTGGCTCACCTGCACGGAAATTATATTCTTGATGTTAGGAGGAAGAACCTGAACCATCTCTAAAAAGCAGCGCAGAAGTCCAAGTGTCCACAAACTAGATGAGCTACTGTTCTCATCCTTTTTTTCATATGTAAAAGGATCAATTATGTAAACTACAATTGCAGGTGGATAGGTGATAGCATGTGAATCTCCATCTGTAGGGACTCCAACTTTATCACGATCCATAGTGCTGGAAAGGAAATTTTGAAACCAGTTACAAAAAGCTGAGTTTTATAATGATTTATTTTTACTTTAAAACTAACATCAAATTGTCAAATATTAATCTGAAAGACCTTTGAGTCAACTGTGGTGTAAAAAAGTCTTTTTATTTCGTTTTTGTACGTGAGCTTATCAGCAACTCAGTATCGCTTGTCTTTTCTTTAGCCTTCTTTATTACAGAAGCTCAACAGCACATAGTTCTATTGCTTCAGCTGGGGAACAAGGATACCTACAAGGTCAGTCTCTCCATAAGAGCTGTCTTTACTACTATAACTTTGATAACAGAAAGTACAACTTTAAGACTGTGCCAAAGTGAGAAGTGAGTAGTCCCAAAAATATAGAAGTGAGTAGTTCGGTGTATTTTTTTTCTCTTTAGAGAGAGAAGAAAAAAAGAGAAAGTTTATTTTTGTACCACAGCACACACTGAGATGCAATTAGAACCGCAGCTAAGACTGGAACCAAAAAGTTCAGTTCCACCATGAATGAACTCCCATTCTCCCTAAAAAGCAGCCTGGTGACTAGAAAAGAAATACAAGATTTTTACTGAGGGGACGAGAGCGGCATTAATAGGTTCACGTTAGTTGAGCTGAGGGGGTTTTTTTTAGCTGAAGCAGGTTTGACTCTGCAGTTCATTACCTTTCAGAAACCTCTGGATGGGGCTGTGCAGGCGTTGAAGTAGTATCTCCAGACATCACTGCTGTTTGCAGTGTTGGCTGTTGCTGCTGTCCTCCTGTTTGCCCATTTTGGACTGTTGCAGCCTGGGCGGGCAGGGAGGCAGAAGTGGTATTGTTCATACTGCTAAAAGGCGGAAATGAAGAAGGCTTGCTTGTTGGTATCCCACTGCCTATATTGGCAGAAGAGGATGATGGGGCAGTGGTCGTCAGCGTTGAATTAGCTGTAGTAGCTGCAGAAGACATGGCACTGTTTGATGTCGCTGTCATAGTACTACTGGTGGGAGCTGCAGGAGCAGACGATGGAGTGTTAGGATTTCCAGCATTAGCTGTCACAGGGGGCAGAGCAGAGGCCGGCTGGCTGGAGGGAGGGACCAGATTTGTTTGGGAAAGTAAAGAATTGTCCAAAGGCTGAGAAGCAAGATAAGGACCTAAAACCAGAAAAAAGCATAAATTTTATATTGCAGCTGTTCTTAAACATACTTCATCTATGTAAGTCTACAGTTTTAACAAAACAGAGAGCAAACCCAAAACATACATTTTACCTCTCAAATTAAAATACCTGTATTAAATTTTCAAATTCTAGCATTCTCATAACTCTTTCAGAAATATCCAGAAATCTATTTGAAAAATATTTTTTTTCCATCCATGTTGAATTGCTAGAAATCACTGCTTCAGAATTTAAGTCACCAATACAAAAAGACAACCAAAGTCCCTGTCAGGCAGCAACACTGCTGTTCCCTAAAGATACTGCTAGAAGATAAGAAGCCATTTTAGCACATATCTAAATATATGGGGGGTTTGGACTTCCGCCCCCCCAAGCTTAAAACCAGAAAACTGCAACAAACAGTAAGACTCAATGAATAAATGCAATGATTTCTTCTCCTCTACTGGAATGGAGTAAGTCGTAATTGTATTAAATAAGAAACACTAAAAAAAAATTTCATACCCAGCTCATATCTGCAAACTTGGGCATATAGTTTGAGTTTGGAAAATGCTTCATTGTTGGCATTAGCTGTCTGTGAGAACCATTCTGTGACCAACTTCTCAGAAAGTTTCTTTGAAGCAGTAGGTCCAACTCTCATGATCCCATCAGGCAATAACTTACAGATAGGTCTGTGCTGACCAAGCCTGCATGACTGCGAAGAAGGTAAAGAAGATGCAAGATAAGGAGTATGTAAGCCTTAAAAAACTGTTAAATATCACACAAAGGAGCACATATATAAAGACAGAGAACTCGTAGTTTAGTTATGATATTCCAAAGTAACATTTAATTCTAGAATACTACACCAGTATGAAATATTTTAATAGTGATTTTCTGGTTTATTTTCAGGTTTTCCTAAATGCAAGAAAAACAGGTTCATACATCATCTACTCTAATCTTAATCGCAATCCAAGTAATACATGCATTTAATTAATTAATTAAATGTCACTAAAACAATTAAAATGGTAATACAGAGTTTTACCACTGAGTGGCGTTTATCAGATAAAGACTCTCAAAACAGCTACTCCTAAAAGGAATGGTGAGCAGCATGAACAACCCTTATCTTCCAAGTGCCCATTCCTAAAATCCTTTCTAGTAGCTTTCTGAGACGGCATTCTGTGCAAGCGTTTGTATCATCTGAGACAAGCCCAATAGGTAGTTATGAGTATGTATTAGAAACAGTCTTTCAAAAATCCATTTCACTGCTAACTGCCATAAATAATGTACCTCGTATATTGCAGTCAGATCCCTAAAGAAGCTTTTTGCTCCATTCAGCAGAGCCTCATTCTCAGGGCACACCACAACATAAGCAACATCTCTTTGAGATCCGTAAGGTTCCAACATCAGCCTCTCCCAATATGGCAATGCAAATGGAGACAGCACCAGAAAATCGTAATCGTATCCCAACAAAAATGTTGGGATTGGCAGTGGTTCCGGGGACTCATCAGTTCCTGGAAAAGCAAGACACAATATATTAAGCAGGAAGCTTAAAATTAACACCCTGCTTTTAGGAAACATGAATAGAAAAAAACCCTAGTGTTCCCAGCATCTAACAGGAAGTAGCACTGATTATAAATGGAATAGTTCTCATTTTAACAGATGAAAATGAAAAACCTGCAGTCATGATCCAACCCTCTGCAAAAAAGCATCAGCTAATTATTTTTATTTGAAATCTCTCAGGGCCTCAAGAAGTTCCACAGCTGTTTAATATTTCTATCAGTATATAGACAATCAGGAACGGTTCTTTACTGTCCAGGAAGCCTGCCCCCACAGAGTCTAAGCAATCAATGATCAAAAAAAAGAGGGGGAAGAAATGTAAATAGTATAAGCAGATATGTAAAGGACCACAGAACGGGAAAAAAAAAACCCCACCTTAAGAACATGCATTTACATGTACGCTAAAAGTATAATCACCATGTTCTAAATATAGCTACAAAAGATCTGCTGGTGAAAGGTCACTCTTCTACACAGTGGTAAATCAATCTCATATGCTAATGAAGTCAGTTTAAATCTTCAGTGCACAAAATTTACCTTGTATCTGTAAATGTGCATCACATGTTGGCCACTCCAAATATTTATCATAGACAACACACTGGATAACCTCAGATCTTCAACAGAGTTCTGAAACTACTGAGCAATAAAGCACACTTTTTCAAGCATTTCAAAGCTAGTATTTTTTAATACTCTATTTTTAGAGTAATTAAAATGGAGTAATTCTTTTGAGTAAAAAGAAAAAAAGAGCAATTACTCTGTTTTTAACATTAAATCCATCTTTGCAATTTCAGTCCCTCACCTGGAGAGGTGTCAGGTGTATATAAACAGTGCAATTGAAGCTGTTAATTTTAAACACACATATTCCTTAAAACAGTAAATGAATTAAAGATATAAATATTTTCCATTTTTCTAAAGAGAAGAATTCTCCCCTGTCTAATAGCTCTTGTTAGTTTAAAGAAAGGTCAAATGCTGTTTAGAATTCCAATAGGCTGAAGAGCATCCAGACACTGAGGTTTGGTGGCTGGATCAAGTAGAGATTAACAGACAGGAATCTACACAGTTTACCGTAAGAGCCTCTGCCAGCCATTTTGTGAAACTGTTGCCATGTGAGGGGGCCTTGCACACCCCAAGACCGGACTGTTCGCTTTTTCTGAATTGCATCCTGAAGAACTGGCTGGAGCGAGAGGAGCATACGAAGGATGTCCTGGGAACACTGCATGCTCACATCCACAACTGAAAGGACAAAAAATTGTCAAGGCCTACTGCAACAACAGGATAAAATAAAGCCCTCCGCAAACAACCCAGAATCCTAAACCACCTTGATTTTAAACAAAGTCACTCTCTTCTGAAACGTACATGCAGGCCATCCAAAGGCCATGATACAAAAAGTTAAGTCACAGATTTAGAGTTCTCCCTCTTCCCCTCTCAACCACTTACAAAAAACACAGATGGATTTTTTTTTTCTGTAGAGCTTTTTCCCTTGAAAGCCTTACCATCTTATGATTTAAACTAAGGGAAAAACCCTAAAATTAAAAAAAAAAACAAAAACCAACAAAAAAACCCCAACCACACCAACAACGAACCCACCACACAACCAGAAAACCCCCTACCCAAACAAACAAGTTGTACAACCCTTAAACTACAGGATTTTCCCTCCAAATAAAGGAGGGTTAGGCAGACTGCCACCCAGTGCTCACTTCATAGAAGTTGAGGGAAGCCTCAAACAGTCACAGCCCATTTCATCAGCTTGCCACCACTATGCCATTTAATGTACAGTGTTTAAGAATAAAAAGCTGACACAAAATTAGGTATGGCTATAATTTCATAGCCTTCCATTTAAAAGTATCTTTACATCTTTTTATCCTAAATACCAAGGTCACAATAACACTAAGTCTTCTCCTGGGTGCCTGAGAACGTTGATTTATCTATAGCCTGGGCTTTTAAACTTAATCCCCCACCGATACACAGAAACCTATCTGTGTTTTACTGTTAGTCCTCCTCATCCTCATTAACAACTATGAATCGCAGCTAACTGCTATCAAAGTTTCATATTTCACTGTTCACCCTGCTAGAGTTGCTACTTGAAGAGACTATTATTGAGAGGAAAGGCATGCAAATACACACAATAAAGGGTATTCCACGAGACAGTATATCATTAGTCAGGCCCTCGAAGGAAAAAATCCAAGGATCTCTGGCAGATCCAACATACAGTGAAGGCTACAATAATGCTTTATTTGCCACACAGGCCATTAAATTACCGCCTCCCCTTGAAGAAGAGGGGGAAGCCAACTGAATCATAAATCTTGTTTAATTCTACCACAGTAGCCTTGACGATACAGTAACCATTTGAACCACCTACACTTCCTATGTACACTCATTCCACAGAGCCTCTGTAGATGCAGTCGCCAAAAGCTGCTTTAAAAGAATAAGCCTAGTGAAGCGTTGTGGACAGTTACTGTGGTCTTAACATTACACTTCAAATTTATGTTAGGAATTTACAATTGATGGTAGCCAAGGCCTACACTCTGCTTGGTGTATGGTACGAGCACAGAACGTAAAAGGAATGGCTATTCTGAACACTGTTAAAACAGAAGTTTATGCAAGCGTGCAGGTGGAAACAGAGTCTTAAGCATCCAATATTCACAACGGAAAAACAAAAAAACAAAACCTTAAAAAAAAAAAATCATAGGTAGACAAGTAGTTTTCAATATTTACCATTTCTTTTTGACCAGTGGTGCAAGCAAGTAGTTTTCACAAGTGCTTCATCAACTTTCCCTCCTGACATATTGTCCATGAACTGCCGTCCATGTTCCAAGGCTAAGTAGCAGTCATTGCAACAATCCCTTTCTTCTACACGTACCAGGTTGCTAACTGCACCAACTTTGGGAATGGAATCTTGATCCGCTGCTCCAAACGGCGAGAACAAGTTGGTGCATTGATCCTGCAGCAACAGTATTAACTCATCGGGCAGTTTCTCAGGTTCTTTCAGTCCTCCACTGCCATGTTCAACAGAAGTAGCTCTGAGAGCTTCAAAGCGTTTTTCTGCTTCTTTACCGCACTCCGTATTACGTCCTAGAATATCCAATTCATCTTCGAGAAACAGTCCAGAACTGTTGCCAAATTTTCTATTCATAACAGCACTGAAACCACAGGTACACCTATACTGGGCCTCTTGTGTTGGATCAGGAATGTAAACTCCAACATCAGCACCTTTGATGTTCATATTGCAAACACATATGCAGCAGCTGTCAAAGTTACAGTCTTTGAAGAGATTCATTACAGACTCTGAGAGGATGAGATTCACATAAAGACTGTGTGCCTCTGGAATGGAAGGCACAGTTGCAGGTTCAACAGAATTAAGCGGTCTACATGTCGATGGTGTGGAAGCTGGTGAGTATAAATCAGAGTTCTCATATTTGACTGAACCCTGTGCGCTTGCAGGTCCACCAGCTCCACGAGGTGTTCGAGGAGTCCTTGGTGTTCTAGGAGTTGGGAAACGAGGGGTGGAAGGAGAAGGGAGAATTCCAGCTCCACTGTTACTGGGAGGTGCGCTACTTGGTGGCATCCCAAACGGAGTATGAGTTTGTGGTGTGTATGCAGGGCCATACTCTTGATCCATAGTGCTTCCATCACTAATAGCAGCCACAAGAAGAGGGAAATACTTTAAGTACACAACATACTGGTTTTGAAGTTTAAGTCTCAAATTTCTAAAGAAGGACCTTCCTAATTAATATTTGCTTTTTTAAACTAGTCTTTCATAATCCACAGCAAGATTTTCATTCCCTAAGGAACTTCAAGAGCATTTGTTCTAAATGACTTTGCAGGACTCCCACTGACAGCACTGTTAAAGAATCTTTCCCCTCCTCCTTTCGTCTTTTCCTCTGCACAAAGCTTCCAGGAAACAAGTGTGGTCAGAATAAATTATAAATTCTATGCTTGTATGGAGTCTAAAGGACACCTTTTTTTGTTCATGTTTTATTTACACGTTGTGTTGACACACACTAAGAAAATATATCGGGTCTATCAACAGTGGATTCAGCTGGATCCATGAGGAAAATATCACCTGGAAATGTTTAACATTTTCTTTCCTAAGCAGCTGGAGTATCTCCAAAGACCTATAAGGCTAATGTGACCTGGAAACATATTGCTTATGAATGACCCTAACAGAAACAAGGTCAGAATTTACTCCAAGATTTAATATTCATGTAATTTTTTCAATAAATACATAGCCTCCTTGACGCCTAATCCATTTATACCAGCTACTAATGCAGAAGAGAACGAGGAATAAATATTTTCAAGAACTGCCAGCAAGACCATCACTACCAAATACAGATTACAGAAATGCCTACTGCAGTGTCACGCTGGGCATAGCTTCCAATCAAAGGAAATGTTTTCCTAGTCCCAATACAGCTGAGATTACTGCTATTTAAGAAAATAATTTAAGAAACAGAAGCACCACCTGCTAAGCCCTTACAATACCTACACCACCACCACAAAAACAAAGTCCCAAGTTTACATTTATCTTGATTGTTACCATCTTCATTACTTATTAAAACTGGACTTGCACCATTAAGCTTCCCCAAGAAACCTTTAAATGAGACAACGAATAAAATGTATGCACAGTTAAGAAGCTATTTGAGAAGACAGCCTCTTACAGTAAGGTTTAATCATAAGAATTTTTTTTAAAGGCTCTTGTCAGTTGTATAAACACAGTGTGTCTTTACAAATATTTCTCATTACATATTTACAAAAAAAAGAACACTTTAGGGGTACTTCCTATAGTGTGGATAACTGACCACCTTACAAATCTTAAACATTTGCGGCGCAGGTCATACCCATCTTTGATAAATGGCATGGCAGGTCCCGGAGGAAGTAAATCCAACTTTCCCACAGTCCAACTCTGGCGATAAATGCATTCTTCTGGCAGTTTGATGGGAGGAAGACACTGGCTAGGAAGCGTCTTCAGTGGTGCAAACATGGAACATCCCACTAAAGCTTGACAATTCTCAGGTTTATAAACATAAGAATAATCCTAGAAGTTAGACATGGTAAAGCATCAGCATGTAAATTAGATAACTTCAGCAGTTAAAATGCTTCTCAAAAAAATGTGACTAAGTTCAAGCAGTAGTTCTTTAATATTTAATCCTGATACAGCTGCAAAAGAGGAAGTTAGATTTATACACACATCATTCGCACCCATGGTCCTCCAAAAAAGCAATATGCCAACACAAAAAAACCAAACGAACTACAATTACTCAAATGCATTCCTTCAAGCTTACTAATGGCTAATTACGTATTACTCTTTCTTGAGGTTTAAGTGGTAAAATACTATATACTACTTACTAGAACGTGCATTACCTACCCCAGTATAATGCAGGACACAGGTTAAAAAGTGTACTTAACTTTCCACAGTTCCTATTCAGGATTAAGTAGTAACTGAACAATAATAATTAGAAACATTTATCAGGACTATCAGCACTACCTACCTTTATTTCAGCAGGTTTGGGGCTGCAAAAACCCTCATCTACTTCAATTCTGAACTGAGCTCCCACACTAGAGCTATTCCCTTCAAGTACTGTTCCTCCAAGTGTAGTGTCCATACTGCCATATTCCTTATTATTCATGTTCATTGGAGAAAATCCCATAATATGTTGTTCCAAAGAAGGTGGAGTTGGATACATTTTATGGAGATCTGCAGTGCCTAATTTCAGATTAGAAGTAGGCTTTAGAGCATGAAAACATTTTGAAGTATTTCCTTTGTCTTAAAATTTCAGTAGGGCAAACGAAGCATATGTTTCCAACATATTAGCAATCAAATGTTTAGAGCTAGTATTCTATTTGGAAAAAACAAATAAAGCTTACTTATGCATGACAGTGGGTCTAGATTTCCTGCTTTTGCCTCTTTGCAGTTGGATTTGTCATCGGCGCCATTCACTGTTCTTTTAGATCCAGGCTAAGAAAGAAGTATTGTAATAAAATCACTTCAGACATGAACACACGTTCCTATTTCCTGCTAACAGGAAATTTCATGTGCAGTGGACATACAAAGCTGAGATTTTGTATAATATTTAGAAAAATTAAAATAAATCAGAAGCCCAATGCTAGTAGTTGGGGTTACACTTGTCCTCCCTTAATACTTGTAACTCAGAGAATGCTCTCTCATCAAGTCATGATGCTATTAAAATGAAAGACTGGTTATAAAATAACTCTCAGCCTGTTAGCAGACATATTAAAAAAAGCTAAATAGGGCTGCTCACAATCTATCAGAAAAAACATACACACTCCCAAAGCCATGCTAACATTACTGATGTTACCACATGAACAGGAATAGAAAAGAGAGAGAAACACAAATCCTGGAACAAGAGGTACAGGGAAGAAAAGCTGTTGAAATTAAAAGAACAAGAGATATTTTACAATCTTTAGGCAGTACTAAAGTCTATAGAAAATAAGAGTCTTCATGTTTAAGAGCAAATACACTTGCTTTATGTAATGATGACCTTTGATGGCTGTTAAGACCCCTCAGCCCTTACTCAGCTACAGCTCCCATTAAAGTTGATGGGCATTTTGTCCGGGTAAGGGGATTTAGGATTAAGCATGGAGCAAAGTACAGTTCAGAAAAGACAACTGATTACAAACAGTATTGAAACAGAAACTAAAAAGATAATGGATTCAGAGCCATCAGAGACTGCAAGAGAAACTGTTCCAAGACAATAGCTGCTGCAATGAAGCAGCTTATTTAGCAGAACGTCCACGTATTTAAATGCCTCTTCTCTTTCAGAAGTTTTCGTTTTGTTTCAGTATTACCTTTATTGAGTAGTTAAACAGAACCTAGACCATAGGAAAAGAGCACTAGTATCACTGTTGAATCTGTAAAATTATAACTAAAGGTATATTCAAGAAGCATATACTGTCTAGATAGTAAGGATAGAAGATCAAAAGCTTGTTTGTATCAAAAATATGATTGCATGAGTCAACCAGAACAGTATGTCTGCTATAGAGGAGCCACAGCACTTGCTTATATGCATGTTTTGCAACCTCTCCTACAAATGCCCCCCCCAAAAAAAAAGCATGTTTTGCAACCTCTCCTACAAATGCCCAAAAAAAAAAGACACGCACACACATCCCAACAACCCAAAACCACAAAAAGACATACTTGTTCCTTGCAGTTTTTTTGTCTAGCAGCTGCTATTACTTTTGCACATCACTTACTGTTAGTTCATCTTCATCAGAATTGAAGAGATTGTCAAGGTCAGTGTAAGAGACCACTAGGTCTGTTTCATGGAACAGACTAGTTGATGCAGTGCGAGCATGAGCAGCAATACGTTGGGCATCTATAAAGAAAAACATTACAAAAACATTTGCGATATATATTCATTAAAAAAAAAAAGACATCTTAAGAACTATTTCCACAGTGGGGGGGGGAGGGGGAGGAAGTATGTTCTCAGTTCCATTCAACTATCTTACATTAGTGAGGTCCCTTCAATTTTATAACATTTGGATTTTATAGCCAACATTTATTTGCAAGGTGCAACAAAGAAAATGTGTTCCAAGCAGATTCCTAGTTCTGAAGGGACAGGGAAATACAAAACCATAAAGTAAAAACTTAGTAGCCTATTAGAATCTATTGACTATTCAAGAGATCATTAACATAGCACAATTAAAAGAGATGGGGGAGGGGGGAAGCCTCTTTACCTTGCTTGACAGAAGGACTAAATAGAGACATAGCATCCTCTCCTTCATGGGATAAAACTGTAACACTAGATGTCCCATCCTCAGCCTATTAAAAAAAAAAAAAAAAAGGCAGAAAAGTTTGCTTTAATTAATTGGAGAGATGGGGGGCATTTTATCTCCCTATGGGAATTCTTGTACATATCAGAAGTATCAAGTTCTCATTAGCCTTCTATCTCAGCAAGGCGTAGTCTGGGGGTCTGGTTAGTGGCACTTGCTCGGGGAGAAGGAAGCTTGGAATACAGACAACATGCTAGCAACACGCAGATGATGAGCACAGATAAGAATGTAAATCTTAGTTTTTGTGTTGGGGATAAATTTAAAAAGCAAGCTGTGGATTCTTGCTACCACTCCTTATTGAAAAACACTTGATATCAAATGCTATACGTTAACTATAGTAGTTATTGAACGAAACTCTCAATACCAGGAGTGCATACACACACAACTAGTCCTAATAAGCAAATTTATTTCATATACAAGATCCCAACGCAGTTATATTTTCTCCTTTTTTGGAGGTTGTACTCTTGTTTTAAGTAGAAGCCTCATATAGTTGGTGTGTGTGTATATATATAGCAAAAAAAAAAAAAAAAAAAAAAGAAATTTCCATTCACTGTCCAGGCAACTAGTCAAAGTTCACCTCACCTACCCCCAAGCCTTTCCACACATGAACAAGGCACTTGCCTTGTTCTTCCTCTCTTCCCCAAGCACCTTCTTATCACCCATTTCTATAGAAAGGCTACTGAGCCAGATTGATTTTTGTTCTGATCCAACAGCATTCTCCCAGTATAAGCCATAAACCCTAATGCAATAGAACCACCAGTGTGCCAAAAAAATTTTAGGTGTAGTTAAAGGCATGCTGCATAGTTTCACTGATCATTGCTGCTAGAATACAGTATTTTTTATTAATGTACTGCTAAATACACAGAGGATTTAAATTATGTTCGGTGACTAAAGCAATTTGTTTTAATCTTATCACTGATTTGTATCCTCACTCCTTTACTCACCTTGTGTTTCTTCCCAGCTTCTCTCTCAATGTTCTGCCTATCTTTTTTACTATCAGGAAATAAGAATTCCACATCACCATCAACAAAGGCGTAAGGATCAATTTCAGGTTCCTGGTCAGCTTCCGTCGCTACTGCTGCTAGGTATTGGTTTTTACTCTGATACTGTTGCACCAGTTCATCTGAAACCTTTAAAGGTTTCCTACATTGCACCATTAATCTGAACAGAAGAAAAATAAAAATCACAAAATATTATTTATTATGTGGAAATATTTTTGCTATCACACAGTCTTTACAAGAACAACTTCATCTTCCCTTCCCACTTTCTTCCTTTCCACCCCAGCTTCAGAAAACTTTTTGGGAAAAAGATTAAATCATTAGTCATTTAATATAACCTCCTTACACACATCAGAAGCAGCAGCGTGATTCATTCTGCCCATCTCTCCTAAAGCACTGTCAATTCAGAAAAAGATTAGTAATTTATCCCAGGTCGTAGCTGTCATTTATCATAAAGTACAAATGTATTAAACTATCTATATCCACTAAAAGAAACTCACCAGGTTAAAAAATTACTCATTGCCGTTCCCCATCCACGTTCAAACAAATGATCAGAAAGAAGTGATTAAACCTGAATTTTCCATATTTTAGAGAATCTAATTCCTGAACATTTAATTCATTTAAATGTAGAAAGTATGCCAACCCTCCCAATACCCGTCTGCGTCTAACACAAAGAGACCAACACTCTGTTGTACACAAAGCCTGCCTACCCAAAAAGCCCAAGCAATAACCATTACTAAAGCACGCAAGTGCCACTATGTTTAGTAGTCATTTATATCACTTATGTCAATACAAATGAAGCTTGCAACACACCAGTATCTAATTTACTAATGAGAATAATAAAAACACATTTGCCTTTGTCAGCATTTTTCTTTTCTTAACATCTGGAGCCAAAAATGGAGTACACAGAAATCAAGTCTTCGTATCAGGATTATTAGTTTCACAGATATATAACATTGCACCAGCAAAAAGAGATCTTGGCAAGTAGAAAACCATGTTACGATTATTAGCTATAGATATGGCCCTCTAACTTCTGCCCCTAAACAAACTTTATTTTATGTATCCCAGTGTACAAGAGGCACCATGTGAGGAAGGTATTCCTTCACACATGATAAGTATTTCAGGAGTGTCAGACTGACGTGGTACACAATTTCTTCTTGCTCCAAGACCCAAACAGCAACAGAATGACCAGTGAGAAGCATTTACAGAAGTCTCACACATGAAATGAAAAAGGGACATTGCAAGGATGAAGAATACAAAGGTTCAAACACAAGTTCCAACATATCTATTGTTTCCCTTCTCAAGCCTCTATCCAAAAGGAAATGCTATCCCCTAAGAAAGTAACGTGTCTCATAACGAGTAGGGCTTGGTTTTGATAGCCTAGATGCAGACACTGATCCGGAGTTTAGAATAAGATAGGCTTACATTTCTCCTTTGAGAGACCAGAAAGAAAGAAAAGCATGATATAGAACAATTCAAAGACTTCAACCTGCACACAAAATGGCACGGTGATTCCTCAGAGTCCTCCTTGCTGCCCTGTACATCCCTGTCAACTACGTGGTATGAGAAAGGACACAGAAACAGTTTTACTTTGTCAAAAGACTTCCTAGAAATAAGTTTCCAAAGAAACACCTCACAGCCAACAACGCTGCAAATCCAGCCCATGCTGGCCATCCATGCTCAATAAAATCTTGTGTTAAGCATGACCACCACAGCACGACCGCCCCGGACAACAGTGCAATGGGTGTGGCCTTATGTCAAGCACCATTGGCATTTATGTCTGGAGCAGCCTGTACAAAAAAAATTGTTGTGTAAGCCCCCCCCCCCCCCCCCCCCCCGCCCCGGACAACAGTGCAATGGGTGTGGCCTTGTGTCAAGCACCATTGGCATTTATGTCTGGAGCAGCACTCGATGGAGTTGAGGATTTCCTCTTTTCTAAATCCTGCAAAAATTACCATCAGAAAAAAAAAGAAAAAAAAAAATGGGAATGACCTTCTAGGAACAAGATATTAAACACCAGGAAAATACACAGCGAAAGCAAGCAGCAGTTTCCAGTATTTTTGACCACCAAAGAGGAAGAGAAGTTAATAGCCAGCTACTCTCGGAGGGGAAAAAAAAAAAAAAAAAAAAGAAATTCAGTAAGTTGTTAAATCGAACTAGAAGCCATACAAGGAAAGACCATGTCTTGAACAGAAAAGAAGAAAATTTTGAAGTAGAGCATATCTTTCTCTGTCTGGTTGGCTGAAATGAATCCAAGGCCAAAATAGCACTAAAAATCCTATAAATGCACATCTTGAAAGAGCCAAGACGTGCACTAGCTTATGTAAACTCTTAAACAGTGAACACAGAAGATATGGCTAAGAAAATGCGTATGAGAACAGACCAACAGCTACAGCATGTTTACTTCTTCTCACAGCTTTCCTACACAGCAAAGCCAACGTGACTGCCATCAATGGCTTTCCACTGCCAGCAACGAAACAAAAAATCAACATAGAATTTCAGTCCTATGAGTAGCTCCTTCAACTCTTATACCACAGATTTAGTACACTAACTCCTAAAAAAAAAAAAAAAAAAAAAAGGAAAAAACCATCACTAATTTGATAGTGATCACATTAAGAGTCTCCTTTCACCTGAACAGGAAAAAAAAGTAATTTTTGGACCAAAAATAATCAACAGCAAGTGCGAGTTGATAGCGGCAACTCTGGGTGCATTTGAGATGCATTTTTTATCCCTCGATAACAACCCAAAGCCAAAAGTTTGTCACCTCTGCATCCAGGTTCCAATCATGTTAAATTTACACTGCTATTAAACAGCCCTGTCAGCACCTATTGCTTCCCATTACCATCCTTTTCCTGCGGTATATCCTCACAAGGAAGTGTTGTAAAAGATGGATGACAGGAAGAATTTCTTACGCAGTGCAACAGCAAAGGAGACACAACCCAGAAGGCCAAGTGGTTTTGTTTCAGGTTTTGTTCTTACAGCGGGGGTTTTTTTTGTTGTTTGGTGGTGATTTGGGGTTTTTTCGGTGGTGGTGGTCTTTTTTGGAGAGTTTATTTTTGCTTTAACTGGTAAAGAAAATCCATGTTGATTCATTCTGCAGTAAAACAGAGCTCAAACATAAGTTTTAACACTAAAACCACTAGTGTTATTCTTTTCCTCCTTTGCCTTGAAGGTCCATAATTTATCAAAACTTAGGCAGTATCAAAAAAGTGATCAATTCCTTTATCCTGATTGAAACAGATAGCAGCAGAGTACAGCATTTTAAAACCTGGTGCTAGATAACACTAGCTTTCAGAAATAAATTTTATTTATTCAACAAAAACCTTTTTTTAAATAGTTATAGACTACACATACTTTATTTCGAGACAGTATTAGCTTATGTTAAAATAAAATAAAATAGTAAGTGTTCTCAAATACATTTCCTGTAGCTCGAAGGCTAAGGTTTTAACAAGGATCTAGTCTGACTGTCTCAGTATTTCTTCAAGTTAGACAAGCTTCGTTTAATGAACGAGGGTCTCCCCATATGATCTGAGGTCCAAGAGCAGTAACAGTAGACACACCAGTCACTCGTTTTCTTTGAATGATAACCTCAAATCCTTAAGCCTTTTGAACAACACCACAGAGAGAATGCACCATGTGCAAGAACGCCAGTTTATGTTATTATTCCAAAGATAAATTTCTGATATTAGAAAGCAGTTGCAGCCTACATTAAAGTTAACGTCTTCCAGGAAACCAGATTAACTTCCTCATTGTTCCAATCAGCCATTTAAATACCAGCTCTTCTGGATAAAGACAGGAACAGAACTGAGGTAGAAGAAACTTCATCTTTAATAGGGTAAGCCTGCAGCCGAGACCATCCATAAAGCAAATATTAAAAAAAGAAAGTTATTTCTTGGGGGGGGGGGCACGACACACACGGATGGATGGGACTTAAAGTCCCAAATAGGCATAATTTGGCTACAGATTAATTTTATAGTAGAAAAATAAACTTCATTGCCATCTGCTAAATCAGAGTTCTAACGAGAAAAAGCTGGAAAGTCTTACTACATATTTGACTGTGCTTCATACTCACATTTCACGAGTATTATCTTCTTGTATATGGACAGCACAGATAGTTATGCTCACACACTCGGCATTACTGCTCGAGCTCATGAGAACAACATATGCTTTAGCGACAAGCTTGCTTGTAAAGAGAAACTACTGCCTTTGGCCTTTCAGTTTCCTCACTTTCTCACATTATTACTATGGTATTAAGCACTACTTACTCTGTAACTGATGTTACGTTTTCCTGTCCAGCAGGTATTACTGGATCATCTCTCAACTTATCATTTGGAAGCTGAGGTGGTAAGAATTCCACATCCTTTTTCTTTGGAACTTTATAATACTTCCAAGTAGTATCAGCTTCATCTTCCTCCAAATTCACTGCAGTACCAACATACATTGTGGGCTCTATAACTTCAGGAAATTGAGCTGGAAAAGGCTGAGACAAGCCATCGAGTCTGTCTTCCATTGTTTTTGTGGGAACCAAGGGGTCTGGTGTTGGCATCTGGTAGAAATGTTGACTCTGAGGAGTAGAAGGAGCTTTAGCTACCCCTTCATCAACTACGTCACACGGGTGAGGACTAAGTGGTGGCGGCTGAGGTGAATTTGCCATTTCAGCATTATGCATCTGAGGAGTCTTTGCTACATCATTAGTTCGGATATTTGAAAATCTCACTTGACTGTCTGGTGCAGTCATCACGAGCCTCTGACTTGCTGAATCTGCCTCCATGGCAACATCATCACTGATAGATACACGATGATGAAAAGGAGTCAAAGGGCGTTTCTGTGGCTTATCCCCTTTGTCTTGCTTCTCATTTGTCTTGTGCTTTGGAGCTGCTTGCTGTTGTTGGCCCACAGGTGGTGCCTGCCCCTGTTGACCTGAATTTCTTGGTTTGAGATTTTTGTGCCTGCAGAATTAATATAGGGGAAAATAGTTCACATTAATCTTTCAAATATGTCTACCATGTTCTTTTTCCACTAGATAAGAACCCGCTTCTAAGCCATTAAACAGCCGATTATAGAAGTCTGACACTGATACCATTCTGAAGTGAAGCTGCCTCTTTCTGACCATAACTTAATTTGAATGACTTGAGTAGCGTTACAAGATTTCAGAATACCATTTAAAAAAACTGGAAAAGCTATCCTATGAGCCAAACACACACATAATCCTCATAACTGAAGACAGTATTTTATAACTGCTTTTAACAGAAATAGATAGTCACATGAACACGTTGTCACTTTTAACTTCTGCCAACACTGATGAATCAGTAGAACAACATATGAATTAGTGAATGACTTCTTGAATTCAAGCATCAATACTAACCAATAGTGCTGTCCAAGTCTCCATGGGTTAAGGAGTGGAAAATTAACATCAAGAATCTAGAAGCCAAGCTCAGTCCTACAAAAGCTATTTCGAAGCTTTTGTAGCTATTTACCTACAAATTTAGCAAGTGTGGAAAAAAGAAAAACTCAGTGTCTCGACTGCATTAATACAGTTAAGTTTTTTTCCAGTATAAATGCACTTGAGCTTAAACATTTCATCTTGAAGTTCAAGATGCCAACTTTCTAGATCAGCTGACAGAATGAGAGATGTGAAATACGGAAGTCTAGAATGAAGTGTTTATGATTAAGCTTTTGAACTGCATGTACATCCTTAGTGCCTGGGTATTCTTTGCCACTCTTCCATTAGGAAAGTTAAGAAGCATGCAACTTGTATTAAAAAAAACAGGATAAGGCAGGAATAAAAGGTAAGAGGTATCAAAGTCTATTTTTACTTTAAACTCTCATACACATACACGTTTTTCACCGCTTAGAATTCAAAATACAGAACAATAAGGGGTTTTAAGTCTTTGCAATTTCTCTTTAGGCAACTGCGTATTTCTAATACACACCTCACAGTTAATCAATTGTTTTCTCTTAACCAGTGCTATATCATATCTAAATTCTCCTTTAACAGAATATTTAATCCTCCTCCATCTCCCAGCTCTTCTCAGGACACAAATATTTCCACAGAACTTAAACCAACCATTTCAATAAAGGATGAAAAAAAGCATTTCTTTCAAAATGCTACATCCTCTAGACATTAATTTTTATTTTTTTTTAAGATTCCAATATTCATTGCAAGGTAATCAGTGTAACATTTAAATTGGAGAAAGCGTTTAAACCTTTGCAACACTTCAGTCACCTAAAGATTAGTATTCTGCCATAAGTACAGAAATTGAGAATTCACTGAAATTAATGTTTCCATTTATTTTAAACACCTGGATTAACTGTCTGTGTCATTGGACAGTTTCAAAACAAAAGTCATAACAAAAACTGGAAGTTAAATTCAGACTTTCCCCCTGTGTTTTGATTCTTTTTTTGGTCCCCAGATAATATAAAAAAACCATATACTGGCAATCAACATACAGAAAAGCTGTTTTATATACAACCACCCATGGAACGCTATATTTCCCAAAAAGTAAAGCAGGTTTGGGTTTCTTTTTCACATTCATCAAGACACAATGCTACAATCATCTTGCTGTTGATTAACAGCTTTCTCCCTTCAAGGCTAATGCCACAGCCCTCTAGAAAAGGTTCTTAATTCCTAAATAAATAGGCATTCCCTTTCCACTGCAGCCCCAGAAAGTTGCCCATGAGATAGTTTCTACCCATATACAGGCCTAAGGAATTCCAGCCCAAGACTCGGGAACTGTCACTGAACTGCCAGTAGGTCCACTCAGACGATACGCTTGAATAAAACCTCTGCATTATCGTATTGGGCAGAGTTTCAAGACCTACAATGACATTTAGGATATGAGATACAAATTTTGTTACAGCTTTTCTACAAGCAGCTATTGCTTAATTACTCCTAAAGGAGTCATCACGAGCCCTCTCCTGAGCACTTCAATCTCCATGTACAGTGTTGGACTGCGGGTTTGCCAAGTACTGTACCTTGAACAATTGCAATTTGTCCTCTGCGTGGCTTCAACAAAATCCCAGGATGCTACCTTGTCAGCTGTCTCTTCATCACACAAACCATTTGATGTAGCAGAATACTTCCTCCTACGATTCAATATCGGGAGAGTTATTTGGGATCAACATATGTTCTTTCCTTATCTTCTGTCAAACCTCAAGAGCAGTTTTGTGACACAGGATTCAGCAAAGAAATTATAAATAGCCTTTTACTAACATCAAACTGAGAACTAAACAAATGACTAGTTAGGAAGAAATTAGCTCCTTTAAAATGTTTTATTACTAGGAGTAAAGCACCTTCTACTAGCAGTCAAAGCATCTTTACCAGAACTACTTTCTACAACGAACACACAAGATACCATGGGTATTTTTATCTTCACAAAATGAGTACATACTTGTTCTGTGCTCTGTTCATATTGCATTCTTGCCAAACTCTGTCCACCACTTGATTGGCTAGCTTTCTTGGTATTTTGCCACCATGATGGCTAGTACTGTCAGAGATAAATCCATCAGAAACTGAAGAAAACTTCACCCATTTCTGGGCAGATTGAGCATCAACTGAAAAGCAGCACCAGAGGAAATAGTTTTAGGCAATGACGCGATACACTCACAACCACTATTACTCTAATTCAACCACCACAGGAACATCTTAGGAAGAAAAGTATCTTCTTAACTCAATGTTAGGAAAGAAAAACAAAGAGAAAATTTAGGTACAGTAGTAGATTATTATAACATGGTTCCCTCTCATGGTGGGGGCGGAGCACCATATATGTTTATGTTATAACTGGGCTGGCTATTTTTATCTTCCAAGAAACTATAGACCTGAAAAAGAAAATAACTTGAGCAAAGCTACCTGTTAGCAAACTTAACAGTATTATTTAAAAAAAAAAAAAAAAAAAAAGGGTCAAACTAAGGAACAGAAGACCTTGGGGGAAACAAAACAAACAAAACCTTTTCTGCACAAGAAGGACAGTATGTAAAGCCACCTGAAACTATCAGTGACCCTTACCTGCTTTGACTGAAAGCAGTTTACCATAACCACTGCTCACACGCAGTTCAGATGGCACACAGCCTTACTGGAAACTTAACTACAAAGAATCTTCCTTGGACTGTGAAAAAAGCTGCAAACATCACTCATGCTCACTAATGACTGAGATGCACAACGAGGTTTATAAAGCTATGCCAGAATACATACATGCACACAAACATACACAGAGAAGGAAAAAAAAAAAAAACAAAATCAAAAACTTGACCCCAGAAATTTAAAGTACTGGATAACTACATCAGGTACAAAAGCAGTCCTCATTTCAGCAACTTACAGAAGTGTTGAAGTTAATTTTGTCCACAACTGAACAATAAAAATTGGCTTTACTACAACACACTTATGACTAAAGAAGTGTGATTTTTGGTAACAAGTCAGTTGTACAGAGAACATCTGAATCCTTTCCAAACACTAGTAGATTTAAAGGAGAAGCCATCAAAATAATTTCCCACATGCAGAAGCTAATTTTATTATACCTGTTTGAACTTCCTCTGGGGATGTCGGTGGAGTCAGAGTTACTGAAGACATGGCAGGATCTCTTGTGGAAGCAGGCACTTGGTGGACACCCAAGCAAGTAGTTGAACAGTGAGATGCCCCTACAGTACTAGGAGCAGGGATGTCTGTCTGAGGAACTAGAACGAAGCATGCTGGGTATACCATTCGCACACCAGCTGAAAAAAAAAAGGCAAGTCAATTTTACAGTTGTTTAGCAAAAACTTACATTTAAAATCATCAACAAATGGATCATTTTACCAGTCACTCATAAGTTTACCTACCCTTTCTACCTACTAAAGCATTACCCTTGGACAAAAAGTCTCTGTTGTCACACTCGTCATTACTTTATGATTTGCTTTATACAGAAGATTTGGGTGAATGAATAAAAGGGGCTTTATATATACAGGCAGAGACAGCCCTGGCATCTACATGCTACTACTTACTTCTACCATTTTGTTTTATAAAGAAGACTGAGAACATACTTTTTACTATCACATAAAACTGACAATACTCCCCCCCCCCCCCCCATCATCATCAGGGTCTCCAGCCATCACTGCAATACAAGCTTGTAACACTCATTACAGAGAAATGATTACATTAGTTGACAAATCAAAGGTCAATAGCCCACAGCAGAGGAACAAACTACTGTGTCTCAGGGGCTTAGATTTTAGGAACAGCAGCAGATAAATGCAGTGCTTGAGTACATTAAGTTCTCCAGGATTGTGGTTTTGAAGACATCCCTGAAAGGCACGTCTGTTCTGTTTGAATTTGCACAGAATCTGAAACAGTACAACATGCTTTTGATGCATCTCAGATGTCAACAGCGATAGTCTAGGGGGTTTTGATTATCCTTTTTTGTTTTTAAAATAAATTAAAAAAAAAAATATCTTGCTTCTCAGGGCACAAAGAAAAACACCTACTAATATGTCTGCAAAACCCACTTTAAGCAGCAACTCATTTTAGATAGGCCTGAGCATTGAACAGAAAAACAAAAGACCAATAGCAGCTGCAAATAGTTGCAAAAAGAATAAAACGGGGTCATCTTGCATTCAGAATTTTGCAGACCTAACCAGCCAGTTTATTAGTAATTAAGCATTCAGAATTTTGCAGACCTAACCAGCCAGTTTATTTCAGTAATTAAGAGGTAATCAGAGTACTCACCAACAAGGACTTCAACAGCAGCTAAAGAATCATCCTCCCAATCCATTTCTTCTTGTTTTTCCTCAGATCCCTCCTTCAAGTTAGATGTGACAGGATAGAATTGTTTCCATTCACCAATAAGCTTTTTTGTCGATGAATCAGAAAGCTTGAATGACTGCCCTGTGAGCGTGCCATTTAATCCAAAGGGACTTAGAATAACTAAAAAGATAAATAAAAATACATTGGAGATTATATCTAAACAAAATTCACTCTTCCCCACTGAAATAGCATTACTGTTATTTCAGGCACACCGAATAAACAACTTTCCATCGGTTGTTGCACCGATGCACCCTAATCACATTTTGCTATACCGCACAAGTTTTTGGTAATAGGTACACATTGTTAAATATATGTGTACTGTAAGAATCAAGGTACCGCAATAACAATTACAAATTAATTTATTTAAACAAGCAACAAGCAAGTTTTCATCTTGGCTAGCAAGGAGTCTCTAACATACAGGTAGGATAAAGAAACACTATTTCAAATTCTGACAGAGTTAAGGTGTTTCCTCATCCTTTCGTTCTGCTTGGTACAGTTACAACAACAATGTATATACAGGGAAGTAAATCTGTTTCATGTTTAGTCTTGTTCATATTAGGAAAGCACAGCTGCTGTTAAATTGCATTCAAAAAAAGCAAGTTTGGACACTAAGCATTAATAAACAAGGGTAGTGTGTGGTCATGCAGGAGAACCCATTTCTATAGCCAACACAAGTCTGTCTAAGACAGGGAATGATCAAACAGCCCACTAACCAGACTCAGGCCCCATCACTCCTTTGTCTTCGAGAGCATAGCCTGCATCTGCTGGTGGAACCAAAGGAATTTACAGGCAAGGAAGAGCCAAATAAAAAGGGTAGGGGGAGTGAATAGGTTAAGTACGTTGAGTCAGAAATGGATTTCTAAAAGAGGGGTTGATGAAGATACGTGGGGGTTATAAAGCATGTTGAAAAAGCAAATTATTAAGTCACCAATAGGACAGTACTTGGAAGTTAAGTTTATTGTGTCGTGAAGACAAATTATTTGGCTGCATGCCAAGAGACGAATATGGAAATCATCCACCTGCAGAAGAGCTGAGACACACCAACTGGCTTCTGACTATGTCAAGCCAGGGGACGTTCGGGGAGAACGTGTAATCAATACAAAACAGATAACGCCTCTGCTCCCACTCCCAGTCTTTGCCAGAAGTCCTCATTCTGAGCAGCTCAAAGGATTGATCCATTTTAATACTCACTTCTGACTGGCAAAACCTACCTTGAAAAGGGCTGTTAGACTGCTGGGCGAGAGTGAGGTGTTCTTCACTAAGCAGGTACACAGGTTGATGCTGACTGATTTCCACACTGGTGCAAACATTGCTATCTCCATGTAAGAAGAAGGTGAATGAGCAGGACAAGTGCTCGCTGGGGAAGGAGAAAGTGGGGAGGGTGCGGGGGGTGGAAGGGAGAGAAAAAAAGTGCCTAAGTATAGAACTTAAAATAAATTGATGGCTTTCTCACTAGTTTGAAGGCATTTCATCCCAAAATATTCATGAAGTAATGAATAATGAAGTAATCAAAAATCCTTTCTATCTAAATAGCAATAAAATGCTAAATACATGTTCCCTTGAAGCATTTACAAAGTATTTGAGCATTAGAGACAAAACCAAAGATCAATCAGTTAGAAAACAAAGACACTAAGTTTTCAATCTCTTTAGACTGACACTTTATATTTTGAGGTCTGGAGGAAATTTAAAACACAATTTTTTGCAAGACAAAGAAAACTATAACTTAATTCTTTTATATCATATATTTATTTAAAATCTATAAAAATATTTCTGAACATATATTGATTTTAATGAGGTCATATCTAGGTTCTCCTGTCACAGATCCACTAAGCAGAATTGATATTTTAAGATTTATATTTAATATTAGCCAACAAGTCACTTATTTAAAAGCAGGAAGAAGAATGGCAACAGCTTTGAGAAGTGTTGGTTTTGTTTAGTTTTTTTAAATTGATCTTATCTTCATACTCCTGAAGCCAATCAAGTAACTGAAAATGAAATCCCATACCTACACACAAAAGGGAAGATACAATCAATGAAAAAAAACCCCAAAGCTTAAGTCATTGTTAAAGTCATTAAAGCAAGCATCAATGTTTAATATCAGATGCTTCACTGATAGCTTCTCTCAGTCCAGTGTTTCAGAAAAAAAGAAAATAAACAGTCCTGTACAGCAAAAAACACCCCAACAATAAACATATCTCCTTCATATAACTCTGAATTAAATGCTGTTTTCACAGTGCTGTACAAAGTTACTAGTTAGCAACTCCGTGAAATCTTCTGCCTCCCAAGATCATGCTTCAGAGACTTCCCAATTTTTGCAGCTGTTAGCTGTTGTTTTGTTACAAAAATATAGGTAAACCCCTGCAAGTACAACTATCAAAATATTTTATGTTGCATCCAAATCAATTCAGTGGTTTATGTGAAATATATTTTACCAATTTTAATTAAAGGGCAGGAACAGAGCAGGAGGGCAAAAGCAGCAGATCCTTGCCAGGACACCACAGAAGCAGTACATCTTCATAGCCAGTTCCATTTGAAAAAACTTTTTTTCTTTTTTTCTTCTTAAAGAAGTTGTACAGGCACAGCAATTTTCAGTTACATTAGCTACAAGTTCTCTCAAGTGTCTGCCAGACTAAAACGCTCCCATAGGAAAAGAACAGATGTTTAAAAGCAAGATGATGCTATTCACGTTGGACATTAAATTAGGTCCACCATCTCAGTAATAGAAGAATGAAAGTCACGGAGAACCTTAAAAGTACTTCATAAACTACTGAACAGAAAATAAATCCTTCTCTGTAAGGAGGGTAGCATCAAGCACCTGCTCAGTCTCAGGAAAAGAAAAGAAACAAGCCAAGGGAAACAGACTAAATTAAGTGAGTCAAAATAGCAGATACTAGTGCATTTTTTGCAAGGTCAAATGGAAAAGACATTCCATGAACTACTGTAGCCTAAAAAGATTGTATGAACGCAACACTACTGTTTCCCCAAAAAATAAAATTAGACCCCATCAGCTAACACCCAGGATCGCGTGCATGCCCTCTGACCTCAAGAAATGCTTGCATTTCTTAGTCTACAGCATGAGAACGCAAAGCAAGTTTTGCGTTCCTGAAAAAGATACAAACAGAGCTCCAGAGCATGAAGAACTGACAAACTCCAAGCACCTGAGCAGCCTTATTAAAATGCAACCTCCACAGGCGCAGTTACTGGATACATCTTTGGTGTAATTTCCAAGATGTTTCTTTCCTCCACCCAGAGGTAGATGGTGTGACAGTAAACAGTAAGGGGGGGGAAAAAAAAAAAGTTTCTGGAATTGGCACAGTCTGTTCAATCTATGAAAACAGACACTGACTCACCCCAAAGACTCAAAGAGCAGCCACCAGGATAGTCACCACAACAGGGAGAAAGAAGGCTAGTGTTAAATACATGGCTTTGCCTACCAGCCATTAAAATTAGGGACCTAAAACACTTCAAGGATGAGAGAACCCACAAACGGTTCAAGGAGGAACAGGAAGCGCAGCACATTTTTTACTACAGTACTACAGTAACTTAAAGCAGGCCATGAAGTGAACCCAGTGAGGAACTGCTCTAAGTGGCTGGCCCTGACTGAAGCATAACAGTTTCAAGGTGCATCAAGTCTGCGTTGGTATGCAGATCTGCTGTTCAATTTTAATTGTGTTTCAGGAACAAGAAAAGCCAGATCCAGACGAGCGAGTTATCACCGTTCATTGACAACTACTGAGCACAACTGCTTCAGTAATCCAACTCTGGACAGAATACTCCCTGCAGATGAAATAACATACTGCTCAGGAATCCCAGTAAAGTTAGTTTCCAAACTGCAGCGATGATGGAGCTAAGCATCTTGTTGATAATTTCAAGTTCAAGTGAAGTCACATGGTTAGCAAACACCATTAAATTCCTATATGGAAATCTGATTAAACTTTAATCCTTATGCAAATAGTTGAAGACTGATTTTCCAATTGAATTTTATTTTAAAATCATATTGGATGGTTTAAGGTGAAAGAGTGGATAGTGTTCTTGGTTCTGAGTGACAGATAATTTAGGAGCTTAGTGTAAGTGAGGCAAAGTTTAAAAATAAAAGCACATATTCTTTAAATACACTTTAAATGCAATTAAGCTATGTCTCTTGTAAACACCACACTATTACACAGATAAAGGATAATAAAGGATAGACAATTGTAGCATTATCTGATGGAATTCAGATAAACCAAGACAAAGAGAAGCATCAGCATGATAACAGAAGCATTTCAATTCATTACACTGCAAAACTAGTCCTAAGAAATAGCAAGGAAAATTCAAGGTCATCACGCAAAAGCCAAATCCAAACAAAAAATCCCAAACGAGAACTCCTTTCTCCCCCCACCCAACAGGGGAAAAGTTTCCAACAAAATAATAAAGTAAGAGAGAAGCCATTGTTGTCACTGACATCATTCAACCAGCTTTGGCATGCAAGCTGCAAGCACACTACTTGTACCATAGCAGATCCGCTCTCCCTGCCGTACAATTCATTCTAGAAAATCCAAACATTATAAAATTTTCACTAATTCTGGTCATAAATTTAAGTGTTAAACAGCAAAATGATGCACACCACCTGGGGTTTTGTTCCAGTACTTTCAGAGGTGCAGCAAATTCATTTTATGTACAATAGGATAATATTGCTTCATAGTAGAAATACATCGTAAAAACAGTGCTGTCCTTAAACTCAAGTGAAGGGAAACAGATTTCCACATGGTACGCACAGTATCTCCTGAAAACATGAGTCTTCTTTAAACTAAAGGTTAACATGAAAGGCAAAACTAACACTACATACTCAAACATAGCATTAAATTTCTTCCTAGCTAGTCATGCTCAGAAACTCTTTCTTCACATTTAACATAATTTCTGTTAGGTTACAAAACTTTAGGAAATATCAATGCACGTGAAATAATCGCAAGAAATACAATGACGAATCCTAATTTAAAAGAAAAAAGAAATCAAAACCATGCTGAATCTCTTTTGCAGGGGAGTGGAGAAAAGGAAGAAGGAAAACAGAGAACCAGAGCTCTAAGTTACTGGATGCCCCTACATACACTGTTTTATGGACTTAGCAAGCAACTCTCTAAACGTGCACACTTTTTTTTTTTTTTTTTT